GATCCACAGGAAGAACTTAACATACATTTAAGATCGACAGCAATCCAGAGTGTGCAGATGAGCAAAATTTGTAAGCTTTTAGAAGCGCAATGAGCTTTCAGTCCTCTTTCAAATCATATTTGGCTGAAAAAGGTGGAAATTGGAGATGAAAGTGCCAACGAAAAGCAGAATTTTAGGCGGGCGAGTAAAAGATGAAGTACGAGCCCAATGAATGATATAACTCATGCCATTCATATGGAGCTCTATAAGGAACCCTCGCATTGCCTCCGAGTCTCATCTAATGAGTCAAATCTGCAAAATTCTCAGTAGTTTTTCGACTTTCACACGAAATTATGTACACTTCTTAAAACTATGGAAGTTTGAAAATCACATAGCCTTTTAAAAAATCCTGAGAACTTTTATCTCCATACGCAATGAATCTAAAAATTTTCAAAAACCGAGATGGTGAGCTTTCCAGACATTAATATGTAATCAAGTTTCAATTTAGTTTGGTATGGAGTTTCATAACGGGAAAATCAGGTTTGTACGATAACTAGATAATAATAATCATTGCTTAAATCAGTTGAGGAATACCTCCAACTATCCAACAAGTAGCCTAAACTCACATTGTTCGATATTCACGATGATTTCATTACCCACTGCAACGCAGCGATAAACACCTTATTCAACACCGTGTCGAACACGATTTTTCCACAACAAGATTCTTCCTAGCGCGGAAGTTCATGCAGCGGCCTGAGTATTTCCTTCTTATTCAAAACTTAATTCAGAGTAATTTCACACACCTAGACCGTTTAAAAACCTGCTCCAGCAAATGTTCAAATTTTGTTTCAATGCGTTCCTTAGCGCGGTAAATTCAAAAGAGTTTCAAAAAATTTGGATAAAACCGTTTTTCTTAGCGAATAGGCAATGAATGGCTACCAAATTTGGCTTGAAGATGCGCAACATAGAGTAGAAGAAGTGTTTGAAAAATCTTTGAAATATTGTGAGAATGTAAAAATCGCCGTACCTTTTTGTAATTTAGGTCTCCGGCGGAGAATACGGGAGACCTCAGGCCTCCGATTAGCAAACACTTTTTTGTTTCTCATAATTTTACGTTCCTTATAGTAAAAACTTTTTGTGCATCCTTTGACCAAACTTACAGGGCAATAACCAGATCACAGCGCTTTCTCCCTTTCTTGCTAGAGCACTAAATGTTTTTCCTTAATGAAAAAAATGCGCTCTAAGTATACGGTACTGCAGGCTTGTCCTGATTGCACGCGTTTGTACAGGTTAAGGGGACTTCGTAATCTCCTAGATTTTCAAGCGGGTATTCGTTCCCGTAAGGTTCAATCGGAGACCTCGTAGGCCTGGTTAGGCTTCATCCACTGTCCTTGATATGCGAGCAAGAATAATCTTCGTAAGCGTGCACGCTCAGCAGGCATACTGGACGGTAGTTGCGAGGATCCTCCCTATCACCCTTCTTATGAAGAAGAATTGTTCGGGAGGTCCTCCACTGGTCGGGGATCCTTTTCTTTTGATGGTAGGGCGTTAGATGTTCCGCAAGTATACCTGCAGGCGACGTCGTCCAGCTCGTAAGAAGTCGTGTGTTTTCAGTGGGAATAACGGGTATGACACGGGATGTTGACGAGCAAAAGAGATTGGTGTAGAATCTCTTCGTGATCATTTCTTTTGTCAGTTGAAGATGGATGGAAGATGTTCGAGTTCCGTCTTCGTTTACTAATGTTGTCAGCGGAACACGATAGTCGAGAAGATTCTTGTGGTACTTCTTTAAACTTCTCCTTCTTGTTGCTACCAAAAGTTTCGATTGCCTATACTTTCAAAGA